TATCTCAAAATTTCAATAACTGCAAAGTTGATAATGAAATTCTCCTTGTTATAAAACAGTATATTTACAAAATGCGATGCTTTCACAACTCCCTCAACATCAATGGACTTATTAATGCATTAAAACAATTTTACGACTTGCAAAACTTTATTGCTAACAGCAATGGGGAAGCAGCCAGGATTTGTTTTTGGGCAAAGGCTGTGTAATAAGTTTATATGTATGACATGTAGTGAGTAGAGTAGTATGAAATCTGTAAGATGAGTGTTCTGTACAATTACCCATCTGTTCCTGTCATAATTTACAGACTTGTATCTCATTATTTGTCGTGCGTATGTGTTTGAAAAAACTGAATAAAAATTCTAAGTTACAAAAACAAAACAAAAAACTAAAAAAACTGTTTTGTCCTTCTAGGACGCATTGATGATGCTATTTGCCAAGAAAGTGAAAATTAGTAACTACATGTACTGTTGGTATAGACGGGGTACATAAAACCTCTTATTTATAAGCTCACCTGCCCGAAGGGCAATTGAGCTTATGTCATGGTGCGGCGTCCGTCGTTCGTCCGTCCTCGTCCGTCAACTTTTACTTTAAACAACTTCTGAAAAACGGACACGAATAGGCTGAACGCTTTGTTGGTAGGAGCCCAACAAAGTTTGAGAACTTCTGAAGAAGTAAAAGGTGTATAATCTTCATATTTGATTGCTGGCTTCCTGGGATCGAGCCCAACAAAGTTTGAGAACGAAAATGACATTGACCTACTATCAAGGTCACAGCGGGCAAAATGTCGAACGTTAACAACGACTTCTTCTGAAGAACTAAAAGGTATAGAATCTTCCTATTTGGCTGTTGGCTTCCTGGGATGGAGCCCAACAACATTAGAGAACGAAAATGAGCTTGACCTACTTTAAAGGTTAAGGGAGTCAGATATGTGTAATGCTTAAAACGTCTTCTGAAGAACTGAAAGGTATAGAACTTAAATATTTGGTTGGAAGCTTCCTTGGAGATAGCCTGAGAACACTCGGTACCCTTCGTCTGACAAACATACTGCACACACAAGAAGAATAACTTCACAGTGGTACACTTTTACATACAACTAGGATTCATAACAAAATGAACAGTTAATCCTTATGTACAATATGACTTGCACTTTGTCTTTATTTTGTTCCCCATTCCAAAAATAATAGCATGTCTTGGTCTATCTTTTTGCCTTAGTTTTCAGCACTTTGATTTTGTTTTGGAAATGTTTGAATAAAATCCATTTCGATGTTCAAGTAAGATACATTTAAGTCCACACATTGCATTCAAATTTTATTCTAAACATTAGCTGATGAATAAATATTATTAATTCGCAACCGTAATACAAGGAGGCATTTCAACCTTAATTAAATTAATATGCTATGATTTGTGTAATGTAGCAAAATCCCTGCAGATGTTGTTACTGGAGATTATGATTGGGGACTGGCAGATTTCCTTTTAGTTGTACACTCATCCCAGTCCGGCCACACGTCTTCTTTCATATTCTCACAATACCTCACTAGGTTAGGAAACTCTGCAACGTATTACAAAATATATAGATGATTAGTTTGAACAAAACTTCATGGTAAGGTGCTATTTGGTTATTAATGATGCGAAGCGCTTTCCAATTATGAGACATTTTGTGAAATAGTAAACCAATCGGCATTAGGGTTTATGTAGTACACATTATGATAAACTTTTGGCATAGACGATGAGGCAAAGGTATGGATTGCATCACGGAGAAACACGATTAATTTAACAATCTGGTACACCATTTGATGATACATGTACGTCGTGCACACGTGCTATTATTATCATTATACAGACCTTAAATACGAAAGGATTGGGCATGACCTAAATATATTAAAGCTCTCTCCTTAAAATAATAGTGTACCCACGTCATATTGTAGTGCTGATTGATGACCGTAGGACTTAATACATGGCACTATTAATGTAAGTGACTACAACATATCACATTTCTTAGGCAACAATATTTGCAACTGATATCGGTCGGTTGGTCAGGCAAAAGCTGATGGCGAGCATGTATAAAAACGTTCACACTTTTCTCTGCTGGGGCCTTTACAGACAGTGGTCAAGTCAATAATTATCTAATCAGAAAGTGGAGTATCTATAACTAACTCTGATTCATCCACAGAATTGTTGTGATCGTGTACAAATCGAGTGCTTTACATCCATACAAAGACTCTGAAAAGTAAAGGGAGTGACATTACAGTTAGAATTACGCCCAAGTGTCCTCCTAGGTTCAGTTCGTTCTGCGTGCGGCTTGCGTGCGGTTAGCGGTAGTCTAGCGTCTAGAAAGCGATCGTTCACCGTTCGAGTACCGTTCGTATGTTTCGTCTGTTTCGTTCGTATCAGCTAAATCGTTCCGTTCGGTTATTTCGACCGTCCCTATCGTCCAATTATTTCATTGGGTCGTTTAGTTCGGCTACTCCGTCCGGCTGTTCCGTCCGGCTGTTTAGTTCGATCGTCTA